CCGTCCCGGCATGAGGCTGGCGCGGGGTTTCGCCCCGTCCCCTTCCTCTCCCCCCACCCCCCTTCCGCACAAAGGGGGGTGTCCGCTCCCAGGCAGCAGGACAGAGCTCTGACACCGGGCCGCTGTGCAGCTCCCGCGCAGCACAACAGCACCCGCCCTGCGAGCCCATCTCGCGGACATACCTTGATGGTGGTCTCGGGGAGGTTGAGCGCGGCCGCCAGCTCGCAGCGCCGGGGCCGAGACACATAGTTCTCCCGGTAGAACTCCTTCTCCAGCCGCGCGATCTGCTCCCGCGTGAAGGCGGTGCGGTACCTCCTCACCTGGTCTGCCCCCGAGCCTGAGCTGCCCAGTGCGTTGCTGCTGTGCAGGTTGGTTATGCTGGAGCCGGAGGAGGAGGAGGAGGAGGAGGAGGAGGAGGAGGCGGTGGTGGTACTGGGAGCCGAGCTGCTCTCTGAATAGCCTGGGCAAGAAACAAACAAGCAAGCAAACAAAGTGAAATAAAGATTTGTTCCTGGCGAGGCGTTTGCGCGTATTAACTGAAGCAGGAGGCGAGCTTCCCAGCCTGATTCTGAACACTGATAATTAATGCTAGCTGTCACCGTTACAAATTGCTGCTGTTAATAGAATCAATAAAGTTTTTGAATCGCTTCATAACCAAATTATTCTAAGTAAATTAGGCCTTTTTTTTTAAGTAATTATAGAATTCTGGTATCTGAAGCAAATTAGCCAAGCGAGGGCACAGATGCAGGGCACGGTTTCAGAGCTGTGGTACGGCTCTCACGCCGCGATGATCTGATTATAATTAGAAACTGGGAATCAGCTTCTGCAGCCCTGTGAGCGTTGCTTATTTTCGTTTGAGATACGCACAATAAAAACGACCTTGCACAAAGATCTGCCCGGCAATGCTTTGTAGGCGACTTTTCTTCCTTGACACGTTTGACAAAAAATGCACATACCATGGCACCTAGGAAAGCACTGATCTTTCCATTACCACACTTCCCAATCAGAATAATTCGCCAACATTTCTTTTAAAGTTGTCACGATACGAGGGCGTTTAATATTCTGTATTACAACAGAAGAAAAGTGAACAATGCCCAATTATTATTGGTGTGAATACACAATGACACATTTTACACGCACAGAGAAAGACAACCACGCACGCAAACACACCGATGCATACTTCCTACGGATCTAAAAACCCAATTTATTCCACATACGTATATGTGTACAGAGGGAGAAATAGAGATAGGCGTTAGCGAACGAGAGGAGCGAGAGATTTCCCTGAATATACGTGTGTGGGAATATACCGATGTGTGTGTGTGTATACAGATACGTGTATACACACACAGACACTTTGGTCTATGAAGACTGTTTAGTGCATCTTGTCTATCGTGAGAAGGCAGCAATAACAACAGTTCGCAGCTTTAGCACGGGCCGTACTGAATTCAGAGAGCTATTTCCAGAGGCCCACAAGTTTTCCCCAAATAAAACTGTACGCTTTAGACGGCGAGGACAAACGAGCAGTTACCTTTGTTATTGTTTTCCTTCAGCTGGGAGGAACTCAGGCTGGTTGGGGAGCGGAGAGCTGAACAGCCCACCTCCACATCACTGTTCATATCTGCCTCTTGAGCAACTTCTGAATAATGGCTAATTTTCTTCCTGCTCTCAGACGAAGGGATTTCGGAGGAGACGCTGCTCTCTGTGTTCTGATGCTGAAGATTGAATAAAGTGTCTATTTCAAATTTGCCTTTGGCAGGGATGTCCCCTATAGTGCTATGCAGAGAGGCGGAAGTTAGTCTAGGGCTGAGGCGACCACTGTGTTGAGAATTTTCAAGGGCCTCCAGCACCGCATTTCCAGCTGAGTCTGACAAATTCGCGAGCCTTTTGCCAGCTGTAGGACTGTGCAGCCCTCTTTCCATCAGAATCATCTCTTTTCTTATTCTTTCCATCATCTCAGCTTTATAAAAAATGTCAAAGTTGCAGGGTTGGTCCTGTACTAATGATCAGCTGCAGCAGGGGCTAATTCACATTCAGCCCGGCAAGTGTCTCTAAATATTATTATCTCTTTTTGAGGGAGGCGTAAAAATTGTGGGATGCCAAAGCGAGGGAATGACTGGTCAAAATGACCTATACATCCTTTCTAGCCCGAAATGTCATTCATCAAAAAGTAGTGCTCGTCATTAAGGTAGGAATGACGCTGTTCGAATAATCATTTATTGTAACAGGTTTATAAGCAAATAAATACAAGCTCCTGTCAGTGGATAATGAAGGCGGCTTCTGAGCAGACAAATATATCCAGGTAGAAAGAAAGAAAGACAAGAAGTGAAGAGTAACGCGCTTGTCCTTAGCTTGATCAGATCTTGCTTGAATTGCTCTGGGGTTTGGCCTCTGGGGTGAAATTGACAGTCTGATTAATAAAATGAGCTGTGCAACATTTCCCCCTTCATTTAGGTGCATCATTATGCTCTGATTTTTGTTTTGTTGCCTTTTAGGTCCTAATGATGCAGCTTCTTTCTCATTTGTCCTCGGACAGAGCTACATGCTAAATAATAGATAATGCTTCTTTTTATTATTTCGGAAGCGGATTTTAGATCGCAACGAGAGAAAATCTTGGCAGAGGGACCTGCGGACCGAGCATACCCCACGCTCGATTTTATTTACTTTTCCTTCCCAGCCGAGAAGGCATTAGCACTTTTATTTAAGGATGCTGCCCGCACACCCCCCCATGCACACCAGCCTCACACTGGGACTTATGCTCGCACACACCCCCATGCACACCAGCCTCACACTGGGACTTTTCCAGACTGATGCTGCCGGTCCATACCGCTTTATGTGCATGTACGACAGCTGCCTGGAAATGCTGTTATTTATTGTAATCCCGCTTTTCTAGTCTATTTTCCTCGCTGCATCCTTAAACCTGATCTCCTTTTACTTGCTGTAATTCTACTTATCGACGAAACCAGACTATGATTTCCCCCCTCTGGGGGACATGTTCTCTGTTGTATAATTTAATGGGAAAAAACAACAACAAATCTCCACACAGCGTTAAATGCACGTATGATTTAAAGCACCATATTGCAGCACTATCTCATTCTCTAGACAGGTTTCTCTTTTGTATCCATCCCCCTCCCATCCCCTCCGTCCGCGAAGATCGACAAGCTTAAAAAATTAAAAAATAAAATAAAATAAAATGACTCGCGTTTATTCTGCCAAGGCTTGGGACATTCGCGGAGATACGCTATTATTATCATTAGCAGCCTTGCCCCAAAGTTACCTGTGGCTCAATTAGCTCATCTGTCCGTTGTCTTCCGGGGTGATCTGGAGTAAAATGTCTCTCTCTTGCTGGAAGGGACACGGGCTACCGAGTTTAGGAGACGTGACTATTGGAAAGTCTCCCCTCAGTGATAACTTTGCAAGTAATAATGACGCTGATGGCAACCATTTAAACGAAGATAAATCCTTTGTCGTTAGCATCTCTGGAGTACTCTTCAATAGCTGCCCAACCTTGCGTCTCCGCGAGGGTTTTTTTCACCCACATAATACAGTTTTAGACCCGGAGTGTCTGAGTTTGATCGGCGACAGCAATACTCCAGTGCTCCCTGGGATTAAATCGGATTTTTTTTTCAAAGACAGTCTGTTCCTTCTCATGGGGAAGTCACACACAAGTTCTTATGCTTTTGCGCATGATTCATACCTCGAAAATGGGATAGTCGTCAGATTTTTTTAAAATAACGTGTTAAAGTCCCTAAACAGCCCGCGAAATATTTAGGAAACATTCTAGGCGCGCGGTTTATAAAATCCACCGCTCGACTCATGCGGGTTTTTTCCGCCCTTTGAAATGTGAATTTAGCTGCTGTGTGGTGGTGTCCTGTGTGCTGCAGCCCAAACCAGAGGAAAGTAAATAGCAACTTTCCCCTACCCCAGCATCCTTTCCCAGCGGGTGCAACACAGACCCGGCACACACTGGTTCTACCAAGAGCAATTGGGAGGGCAAAGCCTGCCTACGGCCAGCACAGCACACAGGCACTTTCTGAAATGAGCTTTTCCCCATAAAGAATTGTAAAAGACAGTAACAGATTTGCCTTTCTTACCCCAAAGAGAGGTGATGAGAAAGCGGTATCTTCTCGTGTGCTGGGAGACAGCACTGCCACCTACTTCAATTTTTTTTTTTTTAATTTAAAACAGTTCTCTTCCCTGGTCTCCCTGGGCTGGGCTGTTAATACGGAGCTATAGAGACAGCGACTCCCTGCAGGGGAGATGCAGCACGTCGGAGGAGCAGAGCCGCTCACTCCGGGCTTGGGCTCTGTCTGGAGGTGACTGTAAACACTGAGGACCCTGAATTCACAGCCCTCGGGGCTGATCCGTGTTACAGGGCTGACCCGGGCTGTCCCAACCGTCCCGGAGAGAAGGGACAGGTCCTCCTTAGACACACGCGATGTTTTTCACGCTGGAAGAGTTACTGATGGGTATGACACCCCCCCACCTTTTACTGTAGAGCTGAGCGCTGGCTTCGCCCAGACGGAGCTCCGAGTCCCCTGCTGGAGGAGGAGAAGCGGAAATCTGTGGTCGCCTTTATTGCTGTCGTTTGGCGCCCCCATCTGTTTTCCTAAATACTTTAACTGGGTTAGTATCTCCGCTCCACTTCTTTCTTGAGAACCGCAGCTCGAGCCCAAATCTCCAGCCCACTCCCAGCCGAATCCCAAGCAGGCTGGTCTTCCAGAAATGTTTCTGCACCACCTGAAAAGCAAATTAAAATAATACAAAAATAAGAATAAAACGTTTTCTCCGACAGATGAAATGGGCTGCGAGGAAACTCCCCAGCGAGGGGAAGAAAATGCCAGACACAAGCTGCACTCTGAATTACCTTTATTAGAGTTATTTTATATTTTGCACCTTTCAGCTAGTGCTGGTATTTCATTTTATGTAGAACATATTTGAGAATGTTGCTACATTCATGTGCAGGGGAAATTACATGCTATAAAAGACTAATAATCTTCTACTAAGTAGATATTAAGTAACAAAAAAAAGGTGTACACAACGCAGTTAATCATTCCGCTCAGAAATATGCACCCGCCTACACATGAGTTATTTGATATTTATATTCCTCGAAAACTAGGTTCATTAACTGTATAAGTGTTTTTAGTCCTTTTAATTTTCCTTTAAGAAAAACCTGTTTTAAGGTTTTTAAGGTATATTTCAAGGTTTGTATTAGTGAGCAAATGTAAAGGAAGTTACAGAGACCGGAGAAACTATGTGAGTTTTTGCTAGACTGAGCTGTTTGCTCAGTTGCTGGAAGTTTAAATAGCTGCGTAGGCCTATAGCCAAAAAGCCCGTATTTTATCTTGTAAGTTATTACTTATGGCATCACAAATATTTCAACTAGGCTTATTAATCCTGAACTGGAAAAAAAAACCCGACTTAATTGACGTGATACTTATTAAATCAACCAACATTTCCAGCAGCCTTTCATTAGTCCAGCCAAGTGTTCTTGGGAATCCTGAGTAAACATTTGTTTCTCCTCAGCTGCGGAGGCTCAGAGACGAACTGCAAAGTGTTATTGCTAATGCAGGTAACAACAGCGCCTCGATGTGCTCCCTCGGTGGGAACTCGCACAACTTCTCCTGTTGTTTCAGTCTCATTTGCCTCCAGCAGTCTAACTCTTCTGCATTGCGTTTGACTTCGTTAGGTGTCTTACCCGGCTCAAGCAGTGAGAGATTCATTAGTTTTCTCCAACTATTCTTAAAAAAATGGTAAGGGAAATTAGAACAGGACCAGGTGTGGGTGAAACGCCCCATGAGAGCTAATGTTGTTACTATGAAATATGAACTTCCATTTCTACCCATGAGAACTTTTAAAATGTTTTCTCCTATGCCTCAAGAGGGGTGTCTGTGCCCAAAAGCTTGCAATTAAAGTTTTTGGGTTTTTGGTTTTTGTTTTTTTGCAAAAATCTATTTGGTCTAATAAAAGATATCACCTCTACCACGAGTCCTGTTTCAATGTTATTACTATATACTTTCACTTTGCCCTTGATTTGACTACTATCCAGTTGCAATTCCAGCTTATATATTCTTTAGTTGCTTCCTGCTCTACATGGGATCATAGAAAGGCTGATCCTTACAAAAGAAATTTTTAAAAAGCGTTGTTGATGATCACTCTGAAGCACCCGTACCTGAAAATTGGGACTGGCGTGTTAATTCGCTTTCTGTGTGACTCTCTTTCCTCTGTAGTTAGCAAGAGAGAGAGACTTTTCAACTGAGTGGTTTCCACCATGAAATCTGGAAAGTCTATTTCTATTATACAAGGCAACAATACAGTTCATCCCGACGTTAATCTGCTTGCCGAGCCCAAACTGGAAAACTTGTGGGGCCATCTAGTGACAGACCCGCGGTACAGCACCGTGTGCTGAAGCCTGGGCAGGGCTGAACGGCGCAGCGTGAGAGAATGGCTCTCCCGGCTTACACCTCCAACTCCACAAAACTGGAAGACATTTGATATTGTTGTTGAAGACTTGCTGCTGTGTACAGGAGCTGCCTGGAGTTTTACTGGAAACATCAGTGCTCTCTGTGAGCCCATATTCTTCTCTTCTGTACCATGTAATGACATAATTAGAGTATAAATACCTATACATTTATCTACTTACCTACATATACTGATTCTACATTTTTAATGAGAGGTAGAGAAGACTGGAATCATTATGCAAACCGGCATCCAACATATCCTCTAATTAGTCGTGCTTTTAAAGTAATTAATAACCAATGTAAATACACTACAGAAGTCCCATTCAAGGACAGCGCTGAGCACATCCATTGTGTCTGTTTGCGACCGGCTTTACAAATGCGCAATATACCGCTCAGCTCAAATTATCAATTTTATGTTGTGAAAAAGTTACTTCAATTTAAACGGAATATTTGATGTTGGCGCACAGCAGTGAACTTGCACGCAAGTTCAGGAT